GGGTTTGGGGTTTGGGGGTTTAGGATATTATAGAATACTGTAATTATGTTGTGCTGTGTTGTAGCCCTGCCATATTACTATATATTCTTTAGTGCTATGTTATATTGTATTATAGAATTTAACATAATTTAATACATTGTATCATGTTACGTCATGTTATATTCGGCAATCCTACGGTATGTTATATTACATTGTATTCTATTGTATTGTATTGTATTGTCTGTTATATGATATGGTAATATTTGTTTTATATTATTACTGTAATATTCTACCATATTTGTGTTACCCTCACTTGCAGCATCATTGGGCTGTCGCCTGTATCCTGTATTGCTTGATGCCGCCACGATCCTGATTCACTGAACCTGAACAGGTCGTCCACATCATTCTCATCATCATCATCACCATCATTACCACCGTCAGAAGGCGCGGCAGCAGCATCACAACGGGTGGCGAAAAGGATAACATGACCCTGCTGATAACGATAATGAACGCCAGCACCATCATCACAACGATGCTACAAACAGAAACGGCAGAGGCCGCAACCGGTGCAAGCCTGTTCAGAGGCTCTTGTCTGTGTCGTGTACCAGCACTTGCCCCCAAAGCTATGCCTGTTGCTTGGACTGCAGCAGCCGCGATTTATTGGATTCTTGTTGAGGAATTTGCTTTAACTTTAAGTTACCATAATGAGGATTTATAGTAAATAATATGGTTTCCTTATTATAGTGACTTAAATTAAATCCTTTAACAAGAACCCAGGTTAGTCTTCACAGAAACCGTCAAACTTCGTGAAGCCCAGGAGCCTGAAACGCCTGCGGGCCCCGAAACACTCCCGAAACCCTAAACCATAGCCTCAAAAAAACTGAACCCTACACTCTAGACCCTATCTAAGCCCTAAATCCTTGACCGTAAACTCTGAACCTCAAACCAACTCAAAGGCTCCGAAACATTTCAACTTCTGAACCCGCCTCAAGCCTTGTGCGCGCCGCTCCCATTCCCTCGACCGAGCCATGATTACCTATTTGTTGCTATTCTTTTTGTTGTTTCTACCATTCAAAACCCTAAACCCTGAACCGGACAAGATGAGATACTCCCAATCCCAGATCCCAAATCCGGAAAGGCCCCTGAAGCTTGCGTGGGGTGCCTCCAGCAACTCCGGCAGCTTCTCGGCACTTATAGGCACAGGGGCCTTTGGTGGCATCTTGCACTTTCTTCGGGTGCGTGCTGCGTATAGGGTTTCGGGTTTAGGCTTTCGGGTTTAGGGTTTGGGGTTTAGGGCCCACCTAGCCTACATCGTTTGGGAGTAGGTGCGTCGTGGAGTAGGGGTTTTAATGATGCGATCACTTCTCGAACCTTCAAAGAAAGACATGCACAAAGCGGAAGTGCAAAGGAAGGGTCTTGAAGTGAAGTCTTCTCCGGCCCCTACCCTAAACCTCAAAACCCCACACCACTACGGCCCCCAAACCCATTGAAGTCTACGATCCAAAAAGCTCCTAGGATTGAAGACATGCAAACTTCAATCTGGAGCCTCGGGCATGTACAAACAGTGGCAGGTCAGGCTCGGGAGCCTTTGCTTTTGGGCTTCCGGCCGTAGGTGCTCTTTGAACTTGGCTGCTTGGGTTTACGGTTTCACTTTGGCCACAGTTTCCATGCGGCTGCTCGAACGTGCTAGCTCTGGGAACGGACAGAGACCGAGGGCAAAAGTACCAGAAGGAAGACAACCGGATGTAGCAGCGTCGCAACGCAAAAGCCCCAGAACCCGGACACCCTAGACCTATGCCCTGAATCAAGAGCCCTAAAGCCCAGCTCCTAAGCACACCAGGGCCCATGCCAAGCTGTTGTAGGCAATACCTCAGCGCTTGCGAAGGCGGCACAAGGACACCGGAGTCTTGTCCAGTTCGGATCCCTTGGGGCAGGGGTCCTCACCGGGATCTTGTTGTTTCCGTCAATGTTGAAGCTGATTCTCCTCTGATTCTCCCATGTTGGCACCAAGAAGCCTGAAGGTACTCTCAATCAGAGGGGCAGCACTTGCAAAGAAGAAAACGAGGCAGCATGCCAAGTTGCAATCATCCAACAAGTAGCCGAAGCGGCTGGTAAAGCCCGCAATAGGGTTTTCGCGTACATTACGGTGTTCTTGTAATGATACGGGACTTTAAGGACTAGGATTACTCAGTACTCATGATTCCGGCTTCTATCTTGCGTGATCTTCAGCACGCTCCTGAGCGGCCTTTGGAGTTTTTTACGGAGGGCTTTACCGGTTTCGGCTTCCCCGCTTTCTCGTCTTCATGTTCAGCTGATCTTGCCCGCCTCAGACCTTAAACTCAAACGCCTTACTTGCTCCGCCCTCAAGCAACTCAACCGGCTGCGGCCCCAAGACGACCACAACCACCAGGACAACCACAACCAGAACACCCAGGATCATTGCGACCAAAATGAGCGTTTTCCAGCCACGACAGCCAAAATGCTTCTCCCGCGAGCATTCAGAGACACGACCAAAATCTTCCCCCCAATGTACGCGGAATTAAGGCATTTCGGTGCCAAAATGAGGCCCATGTAACACAGCTTACAATCACAATGAGTCGAGTTCTGGGAGGCCTCGGCCGCACCGAGGATGCGTAAAAAAAAGGTTCTGAGGCAAACTATGCACTGCGCCCTTCCGCCAATATTCCGTGTGCATCTCCGGGGGCTTGCTCGCGCTGACAAACTATAGCATATCATGGTGCACGACAACACACTATCACTATATGCTATGATATACCGAAACATGATAAGACCGTAAACAATAACATGCTATGACATAATATACTATACTATCATGTACTACACTACAGTGTGTACCACACCGCCGGTGGGGGAAACAAACTCAACACTTGCTTCGATCGAAACGAAAGCCGATACCACAAGCAGGCCACGTACAAGAATGGTACAAAACTTGCTAAATGCGGACAAACAGGCTGCTCAGTCCCTTTTCGACGGTTTGTTTCAGTACCTAGGTTTCTGTGGTCTCTCCTCATCGTTTGCAGGCCTCTCTCAGCTTCGCAAGTCCTTCTCCAGCAAGTTGTTTGATTGCTTATCTTGTCTTTAGTTCTGTAGATCGGTGCAGAACCCTTTGGTTTTTCTAGCCAGGTTATGACATGTGCTCCAAGTAACGATAACAATAGGCATGCAAGGTAGTAAACAGCATGACCAAAATATATGCCCGCAGTGATAGGGTAAGCACTGTCGTGCTCAGTTAAAGTGGAGGTGAAGGGTGATTTATACCAAACAAGTTGCAACAGGGTGAGCTCAGCTAGTCTCTCGCTCAGGCTCAGAGCGGTACACGCCCACTTTATACGTCCTAGGCTGACGTGTCCCCCAGATGTCCCCTGCATATCGGCAGCCCTTTGCCGGGGCCAGGCGAGCTCCGAGGAGCTTAGGATTAGCTGACCTACTATGCGGGTCAAGCCAAAGGCTCGCCAGGGGTGCGCTACCCTACGGGCCACAACAAACACAGAATTTTAGCTTTCGCGATTGCAATCGCCAATCTTGAGCCAAACGCCCGCAGTTGGAGAGTTCAATAAAGCCTCTACATGCCAGCTTCGGAGCAAAGTTCACGATCACTCATGAAGCAAATGAGGACTGCGGTGCTAGATGAGTCTTCGTCAAAATGGCGGAATATGCAGTCGTCAGTCGTCTGAGCTTCAGCTTCGGCTCTTGTCCGAAGCTGTACAGCTCTCTTCCTGAATCAACAGTCCCGATCTACGTCCTTCTTTCCTGTATGCGACTCCTCCTTGTCCTCCGGTCGTCGTCTATGCGCGATATACAGAGTATATCATCGTCAATGCGGCTGCAAAGCAAGCACGAACCTGGAATCTACATCCGCATTTGGGCAACAAGAGGTGTGCAAAACAAGCACAGCCCAGACAGAAAGCACTGCCGGGAACTTGATTGAAATTCCGCCCAAACCTGCAAAACAGCCCCTAAATCCTTAACCCTAAACCCAAACTAAACACTAAACCCTAAACCCTAACTAAACCCTGAACCCTCGGCCCTTCACCCCCGGAACTCCCCAGCCCTTTCCAGACCCGGCGGCGTGTCTCTTGCAAGTTCTGCGCGTAGCGCGTGAAAAGCCTGGGCAGCACTGGGCCTCTCTTGGGAGATCTGGCAAGAATGCGGGGGCCTTCATAATCAAAATAGGGTTTAGGGTTTAGGGTTTTGGGTTTAGGGTTTTGTGCTCCTTCGTAGTATAAGTATAAGTATAACAAGGAACCCCTAGGGAATAATGTTGTGAATTGTTTAGGCTTCTTTATTCTCCCACGTGAACGGATAAAAAAGATACGAGAGACCGCGTCTAGCACCCTTCTCCCGCGATTCCTACTCGGAGCCGAGCCTTCATTTCACGGAGAACTTTCAATCATTGTAGGTCCTACAGTATACCCCCAATGTATCTGAGTCCATAATCCATTATCGTATCACATCTCCTGTCGGAGCTGAAGTGTCGAGGATTGCAGGGGATGTTGTGGTCGAAAGGACATGAAGATCTGTTGGAGCGCTACGAGGATGGCCTCGCTGTCACTAAGTGTGAGAGCACTGGTTTTGGAAACTTATAAATATAATCTGAGATTTGCAATCGCAACTGCAACCGCAAAACCTACCTACAAGAAGCAGATGGTGATGGTGGCAGCACTGTTGTAAGCGGCAAGTCACGTGCAGCAAAACAGAAACACATCTCCCTATACCCTATGCCCCAAAACCTAACCCCTCAAACTCAACGGAAACCTGATCCCTATTCATACTCCACGCGCTGCAAAACCCACACGAATAGCCTACGGAAAACCTGGAAAATCCTGACAAGACCATAATCCCTAAAGCCCAAACCCCAAAAACCCTAAACCCTACAGCCCAAACCCCAAAAGCCCTAAAGCCCAAACCCCAAAAACCCCTAAACCCCAACAATCCTAAACCCTGAAAGCCCTAAAACCCAATAAAAGCCCCAAAACCCCAAGCCCTAAAGCTCCAAAAGCCCAAACTCCAAAAAACCCTACCTCCCAAACCCCACAACCCTACAAGCCCTCAAAGCCCAAAGAACCCGAAAAACCCCGAAAGCTCCAAACCCGATGCCATCCGGTTTAGGGCTTAGGGTTTAGGGTTTACTAAACCCGAAACCGAGTTTCCGGCTTGTGCTGCTCGGCCTCGTAGCCCGAGAGGGCCGAGGCAGCGGCGATCCTCTCAGGGAGGTTCGGGGCTTTCGGCTCGAGGGCTTGGGGCGTAGGGATTTAGGTTTTTGGGTTTGGGGATTTAGGGTTTAGGGATTTAGGGTTTGGGAAGGCGTTGAAAAGGGGGTGTTGGGGCTTAGGGTCACTAGGGTTTAGGGGTGGAGGTTCGTGGGTGGGTATGAGTAGAGGATCACTGTCGTTATAACCTATATGGGACTTTCCGAAGATAAGGGGTACCTTACTTGGGGGTCCTTATAATAAGGATCCTACTATTTAGGGTACAAAATTAGGGTCCCCTATTTTCGGAAACCCCCATATTAAAATGAGGGAGCCCTGGGCTTTCGGCTCAAGGATTGGAGCTTAGGGGTTTAGGGGTTTAGGGCTGAGCGTCTCTAGGAGCTTCTGGCCCTTTGGGGGTTTGGGGTGTCAGGGGGGTAACACAAGTCCTTTTTGAGTTTGAATCTGGGGGACTTATTGAGTAGAACAAGGAGTTGAGACATCAGTAGGTATATCGCAGGCCCTCTATACGAACCCTAAACCCTGAACCCTANNCTAAACCCCAAACCCCAAACCCATCATCACCCTGAACCTCTTCAAATCTCGTCTTCCGGGGCTTCATCGGGTCTGGGATGGGGTTTGCAAAGCGCGTTGCTTACCCGGGCTTTCTGTGCGTCGGGCTTCCGCTTCGGGGTTTAGGGGCGAGGGCTTCTTAGTTTAGGGTTTAGG